GGCACTTTACATGTTTGTCACTTCCATTAAAATAAGCTTTGAGATATCAAAAACGAACAATTTATCTTGTTGAGTTCGATTGATAGAGAAGCACTATCTATTGTATATCTGACGTTTTGAATCAATTCTCATTTTCGTAGTTCTTTTTTTTCTTCTATAAATAAATTTCAATTCACTTCATTCATTAGTATAATAAGATATATTACGTAGATTTATTTATTTATTTTTCTTTGAACTTTTTTTTATATTTGAAGTTTAAGGAAAATAATTATATTCTTTATATGTTCAATCATGTTTATAAGAATTAAAAAATATTCTTTTCTTTTATATATTAACATGCAATACCATGAGACAATTGTGCCACTTAATCTACACATAATAATAAATCTAGTGGGTGGTTTCTTTTTGTTTTCATTTTAATCATCAACAAAAGTTTCTTATATATATGTTAGTTGAAACATATCCGTAGACGGCGGAACGTTTTGATTCTAGGGTAGGTCAAACTTTTTATATAAGATCCTCATTTAGCAGTTACAAGTGAGAGAAGATGAGTTTTTGAATGCCATTTACATGAAATACAATTAGTGTCTCTCCTATCGAACTCATATTTAGTGATGGAAATAGGAAAAAAAAATCTGTACGTTTAAGTTCATCGGAAGGTGATCTTCTTTATCGAATAAAAAGTTTAATGGCGGAGCAGAGATGTCCCACAACAAAAAAAAGATATTCCATTGTGAACTTCTTTACTGTTGAAAACGTTTAATAGGCATGTAACCTTAGTTATCGAAGGCAAAGGAATTTAATTTATTGCTTAGTTGTCGGAGACGGCAAAAAATATGATGTACTGCTGAAATCTATTAATATAATGAAAGGTGAAAAGTGTTTACCCCTACGAAGGATGAATCTCAGATAGGCTTTCACTTTCCTAGTCATCTGGCCACGTCACCTATGCTTATTGAAGACGAGGTGGTACGCGTCATTTGTCAGAAGAAAATGAAAATTAAACAATAATAGAAAATTCTTACAATAATTAGAGTCTATCTAACGATGAGACCCATCCAACTGATACTGTCCATTTCAGCTCATATGTAGTGTTGACAAAAACCCTAAAAGGGTTCGACTGTCATATCTGAATTGTTGAATATGGAATAGAGAATTTCTTATCTACTTGCTGTTGTGTACAGTGAAAATGAATGATAACTAAAGGTGGAGATTGTTCGCTGTTGTTTTGTTTTTTTTATTGAATCAGAAAATAAAAATAAAATGTACAGAGAACGGAAATGAAATGAAAAATTCAAGAAAGTTTTGGATCGAAGTCTAATGATAATTAGAAAGAAACTATTGATACACTACTCAATAATAAAATAAGTTATCAGCGAAATTTGTTTGTATCTGGAACAATGGCACGAATTCTTTTAGGATTTTTATCTATTCATAATAAGGGAGACTTGAACCTATGAAGATATCATATCATTTTTTGTTTTAGATGTCATCAAATAAAAGTCTCGAAAAACAACTTCGATCTCATAGTATTCATGCAACTATAGCACGTGATTTAGAACGTATGAAAAGATTACAACGATTAGAAATGAAACAAGCAAAAGATTTTCATGTTTTTGAACGTCGACGAAATTTACATGCAAAATGGAATCAACGTGCTGATCATAAAATTTTAGGTCAAAATTCAATAAATAATAATCATAATCATTCAACAATGACTCTTGATGAATTTATGCAACATGAAAAAATTAAACAAGATAAAATAATGAATTCGAAAAAATTAGCTAATGAAAGAATTCGTCTTAAATAAAATAATTTTTCTATTATAATTATTTAAATAAATAAATTCTTACTTTTTTCGATTAATAACAAGACTTGATAACCAATCAAATATCATTTGTTTTGAATCGATGTTCCAATATTGTTCGATTAAATCTAATCGTTTATCAATTGATAATTGGCGATCAGTTAATTGAGTATAAAGGGCTAAAAAAAAAAGATTATATTTTCGAAATTGAACTAACCCAAAAAAAAAAGAAACTTACTTTCACCTAATTTCATTTTTTGCTCTTTTAAGAAAAAGTAACTATCTACAAATAAAGCAACAGATTTACAGACAACATATAAAAGATTTGTAAATAAATAAATAAATAAATATATATATATATCACAAAAACAATACTTAAAACATGGACTTAGTTCATTTAATGAGATCATCAATTTCATATTTAAATATTAAATCTAAATAAAGAAAATAAAAATTTATATAGAATAAAAAAGTCATCGACATTTGTATTACTTTTTTCTGGGTAATTCTTATTTGTTGACTAGGAATTTTAATCCTTAAACATCTCAAATAAGAGGAGTTCACGTGATTTACTGTCCCTGGATTGACAGCGGCGCTATAAAATTTTTCGATGAATTTTTTAAAAATTTTCTTTATTTCGAGAAATTTTTAAATGACAAAACGATCGTAGAGAACTTATTGACAAGAAACGAAACAGTAATATCTACAAAAACTGATCTGGAACGTCGAAAATTTTTAAAAATCAAATATCTATTTTTGTACCATTGCAGCAATACGGCTGACGAGAGAAGCTCTTCAGATGTCAAAAAGCTTTTCAACTGAGACGATGTTCATTTAATGAGTAATAGAAAAGTCGACAATGGTTTACCTTTCAGAACACAGGCCTGGAAAAACAAACCATTCTAGACTTTTCTAGTATTCATCAAATGAACATCATCTCAGTCGAAAAACGATTTGACCTCTGGCAAGGTTCTCTCGTGAGTCGCCTGAGTATTGGCGGTGGCTTATACCTCTAATTGTGACAATCAATGTGTTGTCAGAACAAAGTAATATTCGAATAAATATATGAACAAATAATAATCAGAGATGACTATTTAATTTTTTGATGAGTGTTGAAAAAGTCTCAATTCAGCAGCTTTCAAAAATGCTGGAATATCAATACGACTTTCATCATAACATAACCGCAGTTTCATTAAACATTCATCTGTTATGACTTTATTTTTCCAACGCTTTGGAGTTCTAGCTCTCATGTCATCTCGTATTTTTATAATTGATGCTAACGATCGTCTTTTTCGAAAGTAAATCAATCGCGATGTAAATATTTGAATGTAGAGGATTTATATGTATTTTTTCATTTGAGAATATCGATCTTCTAAATAATTAATAGTATGTGATATTATGTTATGTTTGGAAAATTTATTGAACAATGAGTACTCATTTAATCAATTCTACAAGCAAACGTAAACAAGTAGAGTTTTGAAATTCATATCTATTCAATTTTTGACCATTTCTGATTCTTGAGGAGTTTACTATCGATCCGCCAGAAATTTTTATCACAGATACAGCACCGTGTGTTTCAAGGAAAAGATTTTAAACTAAGTATTAGCGTTATTTCTTTGGGGAAAAGCTGATTTTCCACAGAACTACATCGAGTGCGCTTGCTCCTCCCACTCACTTTGTCCGATCGTGCTGAACATTTTTTTTTGGAGATACTCTAGTTCAGCCCAATCGGACAACGTTAGAGGAAGGTCGTAAGCGGATCTAATGTGATCCTACGAAAAATCAAGGTTATCCCAAAAAAACTGCGAAAATTTTATATAAAAACTTTTTTTCTTAAGTCATGCGTCGCCTTATTTTACGTGCTCTACCAGTAGTAAAAGTTTCCGACGGATCGGTTTTAGCCTCTTCATAAAACAAAAAAAAAGAGTTGCAGGCACTCTTAAGAAGATATAATTCCTAAAAATAAATTTTAGTGTTTAGTAATTGATTTAAAATTTTTTTATTCAATATTGTGGTAAATGAAAAGAGCGAAATTTTTGAAAAACTTGAGTTTTCCAAGGAGGACGAACTAATAAATATTTCAAACAAGTAGACAGTTGTTTTTTTGTTCTGCATTTGTCTTAATGACCTGCTATAGACTTTATAAGAATAGATGTTTTAAAAATACATACATATTTGTTTAATCTTTGTCATCTTTTCCATCTAATTGTTGTCGTAATTCTCGAATTTGTTGATTTTTTTGTTCAATAATTTTTTTCATATTAATAAATGTATTTGTTTGATTAAATTTTTTTTCTAATTCATTTTCAGCTAATGATAATGCATATTGAATATCTTTTAAACGTTTTTCATTTGTTTCTAATTGTTGATTAAATGATACTTCTTTATTATTACATAAACGTGTATTTTCTTCTAATTTTTGATTTAAAATATCATCATCATTTTCATATTGTAATAAACGTTTTTTTAATTGTTCATTTAATTGTTGTAATTTTTGTATTTCAGTTTTTAAAAGTATTGTAGATTTTGTATCATTTATTGGATCCATCATTGTATCTATTGGAATTTTGAAAGAAGAAAAAACAAAAACATAAAATTCTTTTTTCTTTTTTTTTATTGTTTAGTGGATATCCGATATTTTCTCTTTCGAACGAGGGATTTAAAACTTCACAAAGGTCAATTCGATCTTTGAAGAGGTGCTGCTGTTCACACTGAATGCAATACTATATTTTTCTTACTCATATCTTTATTTCCTTTGGATTTTTTTGTATTTATTTGTTGTTGTTCATAATCTCGTATAAGTTCGATTAAACGACGATTTTCTAATTGATCAAAATTAGGATTTAATTTTAAAAACCATTGTTCAGCTTGTTGAAATAATTGTTTAATTAAAAGAGTATTAACACGATATTGATGTGTTAATTCTTGTTCAAATTCTTTTTCTAATATATCAAGAAATTCTTCAAGTAATTCATTTACTTCATTAACTGTCATCATAGCTTCATCAGATAAACGTTGAGTTTTAAAATCTTCAGCTGCAGAACGAAATGATCGTAGACCTGTTGCTTTTTGTTCACGTGAAAAATGAACATAACGACGAATAATTTCTTCATGATGTTCATTAACATCTAGATCATTTATTGATGAAGCCATTTATCTATAAAAGAAAATCATTACAGAAAAATAATCAATTGTATACTTAAATTCAAGAGAACTTTAATTTATTTTTTAGATCTTGTTTTTTTTTCAAATTCTTGTATCAAAGAGAGATTGGACATAGAAAAGAGTCGAATGAGAAATATCAATCATATATATATGAATTTAGCAAAGAGGGCGCCTATGTACTGTCATGAGACACTATGACGAAAACCATAAGATCGTATACAGAAAATAGAATGGAGATGAAAACATTGTATGTAATTATGTAGTCATGCTATTTTAAAACTAAATGTATAGATTTTCAATTTTTAGAAAAACGCAAATCGAAAATAAGTATATATTGACAAATTATTTATATAACATAAAGAGAAAAAAAAAACTATCGAAGGAAAAAATTATTAGAACAGATATGTCCTATTATAAAATGAAAACATTCATATTGCAGTGAAGTTATTATTTCATCCATACCAACTTCTTATGAATGTTATATTTCTTTCGTTTTTTGACTTTTATTTTTGTGCAATCCCTCATTTGACAGCTCATCTGTGCAGCTATCTCCAGTTCAAATTTGACAAATGATCGAGAAATAACGAAGATCCAGTTTTTGTACTGAAAACTTTCGTTAAGCAGAAAGCCCTAATGTCCAGTGTGATATCAATAAGTCCAGCTAGACTCGAAAAAGTTACTAGTATATAATAATCCTGATTACATAGCTATGCTGTCCGTTGTTTGTTGAAAAACTGAAAGAAAAGTCGTCTCAGAAAAAATTCGAACTGAAGATAGCTGCACAGATGGACTTTCAAATGAGGGATTGCACAAAAATAAAAGTCAAAAACCAAAAGAAATATAACATTCATAAGATGATGGTATGAATGAAATAATAACTTCACTGCATATTGGCTGATTCAGGACGAAGTGATGCCTACGATCAGAGTTCATTAAGGTTCACATGCACTGAAAATATCACCTGAAGACAATGAAAACAGTAACAGTTTAGAGGAGTAAGGGACTTATGGCCAGCACTGCCCACGAAAAAAATTTTCAGGGAAAACCGCGGTTCACCGCGGTATCATCTGAATAACCGCGGTTCACCGCGATTTTGTGCACCGCGTTAAAGAAAACCGCGGTACAGTTACTTCTAACCGCGGTATTAAATATAGCGGTTGCGATCGATTTCACATACCGCGGTATATTTAATGATAACCGCGGTATTAAATATAGCGGTTGTTGCCGGTTTCGTATACCGCGGTATAGTACATGATAACCGCGGTTTTAAATATAGCGGTTGTTGCCGGTTTCGTATACCGCGGTGTAGTACATGACAACCGCGGTTTTAAATATAATGGTTGTTACTGGTCTCGTATACCGCGGCGTAGTGCATGATAACCGCGGTTTTAAATATAGCGGTTGTTGCCGGTTTCGTATACCGCCGTATAGTACATGACAACCGCGGTTTTAAATATAACGGTTGTTACCGGTTTCATACACCGCGGTGTAGTATATGATAACCGCGGTTTTAATTACAGCGGTTGTTACCGGTTTCGTATACCGTGGTGTAGTACATGATAACTGCGGTATTAAATACAGCGGTTGTTACCGGTTTCATATACCGCAGTGTAGTATATGATAATCGCGTTTTTAAATATATCAGTTGTTACCGGTTTCGTATACCGCTGTGTAGTGGACGATAACCGCGGTTTTAAATATAGCGGTTGTTACCGGCTTCATATACCGCGGTAAAGTACATGATAACCGCGGTATTAAATATAGCGGTTCTTGCCGGTTTCGTATACCGCCATGTAGTGCATGATAACCGCGGTTTTAAATATAGCGGTTGTCATCGGTTTCTTAAACCGCAATGTGTTCCATAAAAACCGCGGTATTCAATACAGCAGCTATCACCGGTTTCATAAACCTCGGCCTGTTCAATAATAACCGCGGTATTAATAATTGCAGCAGTGAGCGGTTTCACAAGCTTCTCATTGTTATCAACGTATTATTAAGAATGAATGAATATTTATTATTTTTTGATATATGTCCATTGTTGAGTAAATAGCGCCAAGAATATGCAATGATATTATAATAACTCTCTCATTATGAAAGAAGATTTTGGTACACGTGTCTTAGAAGTAATCAACGATTCTGTTTATCTATGAGCGATAAAGCCGTCACTAATACTACACTATTAATGTTTTAGAATAGATTTTTCTCTCGAGAAAAACAATCATAATAAAAAAGCAACTTTATGATGCAATCGATAAAGCTTGAAAAGTTCTATTGAATTACATATTCAACGACTGTTTTTTTCTATTCACCATGACACTAGAAAATTTTTGTTTTAGATTAATCTCAACATCCAATCAATGATTAGTGTTCATCTAAATATAGTTTTTCTTAATTTCCAATCAATTCCAATACCAAAATGTAAACTAATTTTTTTATTTAAATAAAATAATTTTTTTTCTTTATTTTACATCAATCTCAACATCGAAATCAACGGCAATTGTTTGTTTAAATAATTTTTTTTCTTCATTTTAAATCAATATCAACATGAAGCTGACCACAGTGGCAAGTATTTATAGAAATGACTTTATTTGTCTTAATTTCAGATCAATCTAAAGTTCAAAATGAAGAGTAAGTATTATATAAATAAACAACTTTTTTTCTTTCTTTTACATAAATCGTAACATCCAATCAACAATAGGCATTTATTTAAATAATCTCTTTTGTTCTAGATTTGTTTTAAATCAATCTCAAATTCGAGTTGAACAATAAGTATTATTTAAATAAACATTTTTTTTCTTTCTTTTAGATTAATATCAACATTTAATCAACAGTAAGTATTTATATAAATAACTTTATTTTTTCTATTTCAGATTAATTTCAAGTTCAAAATCAACAGTAAGTATTATAAAAATGATTTTTTTTTATTTTAGATTTATTCATATCAACGTCGCATTGTACAGTAGGTAATAATTAAATTTTTTTTCTCTTTTTAGATTAACTACCACATATAAATCAAAAAGTACGTATTAGTAAAAATATATGGAATATACAGTCCGACCGAAGGTTCCAGTTATTTTCATTTCCATGTAGTTCCCATGATATTTCGAAAAAACTATGATTGTTTTACAAGTTATAGGACGCGTATGTACACGCCCTATAACTTGTAAAACAATCATAGTTTTTTTCGAAATATCATGGGAACTACATGGAAATGAAAATACCTGGAACCTCTGGTGTAAAAAAATTTTGAGAAAAACCGCCACAAATCTCTATCCTTAAAACCGCGGTTTTAGCCGGTTTTTTTCGATCGCAGGAGTCAGACCATCAATGCAGCTTTTGGAAACCGCGAAAAAACGCGTCTTCAAAAACCGCGGTTTTTTCCGGTTATTCAAAGATGCATTGATGGTCTGACTCCTGCGATCGAAAAAAACCGACTAAAACCGCGGTTTTTGAGAGTGCGTTTTTTCGCGGTTTTTTTGTAATTTTTTTTTCATGGGTGTACTTCTTTGTACTTCTCTGTACTTTTCCATACTTCAGAAGTCCTGCTTTTTCCCACTTGAGAAAATACCATTTTAGGTAAAGATCGATCAACTATATATGTATTCAGCTATTTCAATGCTTACCCATGATAAATGTAAACATTCATTAATATTCATTTGTTTCATCGTTGTGTAGCAGTTCTTTAATAATAATCAAAGAATGTCTAGAAATTCTTTCTAGAGCAATTTCATTTAGAAATCGAGAAATAATAAATTGTTTTGCCAACTATTTTAGTTTCTAATTTTGAGAGATCATCTCAAAAATGAGATACTTATTAAAGTTCTTTGAGTTTAGCAATAGATCATTGCCTGAATTATCTTTTAGAAAATGAGTTCGAAAAAGAAGATCTAAATGTCTAAAAGTATTCCATATTGTTTTATAAATAAAATCAATTATGAAATTTTTCCATGTGATATCTTTAGCATATTTCTTAAAATTTTTCTTTTGTTGTCTTAGATAAGCATTATTTTTATTTTATTTTCATTTCAATCGAATAACAAAAAAAGAAAAAGAATAAAGCTTTGATAAACAAAAAAAAAGAAGAAGCAAAACAAAGACTAGTAAAATCATCATTATTTACGAGCAGCAGCAAGTCTTTTAGTACATTTTTTATGTGCCTTAGTATTCAATCTATTCCAAAAAAAAAAAGATAAAAATTTCATTTTTTAAAAATGCACTTACTGTTTTTTTTTCCATAAACGATAACGTTCACGAAATGTATTTGTCAATTGGTCTTTTTTTTCTTGTTTTTTCTCGATTAATTTATCTAAATCACGCTTCATTTTATTTAATTTTTTTCTAAAACTTTTAATTTCTTTATCATGTTGTGCTAAAATATTTTGATTCTGTTTGTGTAATTCGATAAGTTCATTTGGTAATGAATCAACATCCGATGTCTCAACATCGTACGCATCAACACTGTCCGCATCATCATCTTCTGATGGTTTTTCGTTTAGAAATGTATCAAGTAATGGTGATTGAACTGTTGATAATTGTTGATTTTGATTTAATGGTAATAAGACATTAATCAATCGATTGTTATCTGATAATGGAAATAAAGTATTAAATAATTGATTATCATTTTTCACTGGTGATAAAATATTCATGAGTCCATCAGTAGTAGGTGGTAAAGATGTTGCTTCATCGATAGCCATCCTAAACAAAAAAATATATATCAAGTCAGTTCATTGTTAAAAGTCTAGTCCTGATGGCACTAATATTAGTGTTGTATTAATAGTATTGAATAGACTTTAATATTCAGTACTACAGGGTGGTGCAAAAGTCACTTTACCGAAAAAAATTGAGTATCTCCATTACGGCTCGAGCGAATGAGCTGATTTTTTTATCAATGATAGAGGCATGTTCAAGCTTTATATTCATAAAGACATGCCTAGAGAGACCCTTTGTTAAGTATATTGGTTTTTTCCTATCTATGAAAAAGTAAAATTTTTTTGCTGAGATCACTGGTGATACTTAACAAAGGTTCTCTCTAGCCTTGTTTTTATGCATGTGGAGTGTGAACATTCCTTTATTAGTGGTAAAAGAATCAGCCCGTTTGCTCGAGCCACAACAGAGATATTCAAGTTTTCTTCGGTTACCTGACTTTTGGGCCACCCTGTATATATAGTAACAATTATTATCTTAAACCTATATATCGTTCACATTTAAGGATATAACAGGATAAAGACTCTCGGGCTTGGTCTGGCTGAGTCTCAGTCTTGGTCTCGATAAGTCTCGGCCTTGGTTGTCTTGACCTTGATATCAATGAGTGTTGGTCTTGTTTCTAATTATTGTCAATTTCAATAACGTTTTTTTAGTCTTAGGATTGCGATCTCCGTGTTGATCTCAGAGAAACTTCATGAAAAGTAAGCTGGTGGTTTCATTATATTTCACTTCATGAAATTGGAACCAAGTTGCACTTGTAGATTTATGGAGATGCTTTCCTAAAATTTTTTGTAGGATGAAAGCTTGGAAATCTGAATTGAGAAATTTTTGTATCTAGGATACCTGTCAGGAATCGAAAATAGCTTTTTTATCTTCAATATAAAGTTTTTGTATTTAGCGTTATATAATTCGTCGTACTAATCACGAATAGTATATTTTTATTGAAATTGGATTGGATAATAAGAAATATTTTAAGACTTTCCTGGTCCCAATCTTTATACAGAATAAAAAAAAATGTTGATTCAAGTCTTTCTAAAATTATGTTTACAACACTTGAATAACTTTGATCTAACCCAACCTTTTCTGCTCTATCTGTATTTGAAAGAATCTGCAACAGATATGGGGTCATTGGTTCCATAATAGTTACTTATTAGGCCCAATTTCTCAAGATTGAGACAGGTAGAGTCTTAAAATGTTTCTTGTTGTCAGATCAAATTTCAATAAAAATTCCATATTCGTCATCAGCGCGACAAAGTCTATGGGACTAGATACAAAAATTTGATATTAAAAATAAAATTTTTTTTTCGCTCCGCAGAGGATATTCTTAGTGCAAATATTTCTCAAATCATATTTCAAAGTTTTGATCGAACAAAAAATCTCGGAAAGGTATTCATAAATTCACAAGTGTCATTTAGCTTTATTTTCGTTAAATGAAAAATAGTGAAAACGTCACCGATTCTTTCATGTAATCTCTCTGACAAGGAAACCACCGAAGGTATCAAAAAGCTTTTCGATCGGGAATATAATAGTTAGATAGGGCATAGCTAGAAGTGATATATCCTAAGTTGCTTCGGGTACAAGTTGAGATCTGGTTGAGATATCGACTTTTTACTGGAATTTGTCTATGGGACTCCATTTTTCTCATAAAATCAAAGTTTTGAGTTTTGATGTGATACTTTGCCCATATCAAGGCCTCAACCAGAGTAGTTCATCCATAAGGTTTCAGAATTTTTGGACTAAGCATCTTCGAGATATAAGTCTGTTAGCATAAACACAATTTTTTATGGATATTGTTGTATGCATGGATATTTTGAAAACATTATATCTTGAGTATGCTTAGTCCAAAAATTCTGAAACCTTGTGGATGAACTACTCTGGTTGAAGCCTTGATATGGGCAAAGTTTCACGTCAAAACTCAAAACTTTGATTTTATGAGAAAAATGGAGTCCCATAGACAAATTCTAGTAAAAAGTCGATATCTCAGCCAGATCTCAACTTACGCCCGGACCAACTTAGGATATATCACTCCTAGCTATGCCCTATATAACGATTATATCTTCGATCGAAAAGCTTTTTGACACCTCGAGTAGTTCTCTCATGAGATCAACATCGGCTTCCCGACGCTAAAACTAAAATCGTTTGCAAGATTGACTATGATTAAGAACGAAACTGACACTCGTTGATATCAAGCTCGAAACTTTTGGTCTCGGTATATTCCCAGTTCAGACTTTGTTTCTACAAATATCGAAAAAACGCTTAGATTGTTTTGACGTTGGTGATGAGAAACCAGTTTTAGCGTTGTTTCATCATGTTTTATATTCAAAAATCAAGCCAAGTATTTGTAATCATTGTTCAACTGATGCATTAACTGTAATAGCATTAGTCAATTATGTAAAAAATTTTTCTAATCTATCAAATGACAGGATCATACAACAACGAGATAAAACGTTTTCTCTTTTCTTATGAATTTTCTGAGTACGATATAGTCGTATTACATTAATCTTTAAACTTACGTTTTTATATGATCAATTTGTTTTAACATCAAATTTTCGATTGAAGATTCAGATGATGAAGATGATGAAGATGCTAAAACAAAACAAAAAAAGTTCAATTAATTCCAATCATTTGTAGCGAGAGATTAAATTAAATGTTATCCATTAACAGCAGCTATTCATATAACTATATATGTCAAGAATAAATATCAGCGTGACCTCCGTGAGTCACGATAATCGTGGTCATGATGACGATCATGTTCAACTTCTTGAAAAATATTGTGACCATGATGTTACCATGACCAGAACATAGTCAGGATCAGTCACGAAAAATGATTAAAGTAACCGTCTAATAGAAATTTCTTAATTTCACTGAAGAATTAATTATTTCGTGATATTTCTTATTCTTTCAACATGCATCAATACTCGAATCGAACTTTTGTTTTCATGTGCTTCATAGACGCAGACCTCAAGATCTGTCTATATCACAGTGCTTACTTGGTCAAGAAATCCTAGAAGATCATGTGTATGAGAAAAAATTCCACTAAGACAATGATTAAAAACAGAAGATACCTTTTCTACAATCAAATTTTCTTTTCATAAGAAAGTTCGACCAGAAAAGTTATTGATACTTTGATTTTCATTTTTCTTCGTTGTTTTTCTTTTAGAATGTGCGTGAAACGCATAGATCTTAAGATGCGTCCATATCGCATGACTATCTTGCTCAAGAAGTTCATTAACAAAAAAAAAACGTTTGATGAAGACGTCCTTTTTAATTTGTGTTATTCAAAATTTCATTAATAGAACCAATATCCGTCCATCATTGTATGTGTATAATACATATGCACATACACAACAAAGAGATATTGTATCAATACAATCATTCAAATTTTTGTGACCAAAAAAGTGGTCACATTAATATCTAGTAAAGACTTGCTGCTTTTTCAAGTGTTAACATAAACAAAAATTCATTCTAGGAAATAACAGTATTATGTTGATACAATGCTTAGATCAGCGTCTGATTTACGTTTATTTAGTGCTTAGCAATCATTCTCTACACTCTAAAAAAAATCGGTTTCTTACCAAACCCCCAAAAAAGGTTCCGGAGATGTCTAAAAGCATCCAAAGATGTCCAAAGTCTCAAAAAAAGGATAAAAAAATCTACGAAACCTTTAAAGGTTCTTACCGTGTACCGAGGATAAGAACCTTTTGCTGCGAAACCTTTTTTTAAGTTCCGTACAGCAGAAAAAGGTTTCGTAGGAAAATACGAAACCTTTAGAGTTTCATATTAAACCCTAATAGTTTCGTACTAAACTCTCATGATTTTGCACTAAACCCTCATGATTTCGTAGAGTTTAATACGAAACTCTAATGGTTTCGTATTTTCCTACGAAACCTTTTTCTGCTGTACGGAACTTAAAAAAAGGTTTCGCAGCAAAGGGTTCTTATCCTCGGTACACGGTAAGAACCTTTAAAGGTTTCGTAGATTTTTTTATCCTTTTTTTGAGACTTTGGACATCTTTGGATGCTTTTAGACATCTCCGGAACCTTTTTTGGGGGTTCGGTAAAAAACCGATTTTTTTTAGAGTGTATGCATAACAATATAAATAAAATCAATTATTCTTTGCATAGTTTATTTCCTCATTGACTACACAACATTTGTCCTGAATTAGTATCAATATTTTTCTGCTTAGATGAAGGCAGTTTTCTAAAGAAATTCTTATCAATGTCAATAGATTATAATTGAAGAATTCTATGAATAAATCTCGTCTGTTTACAATAGGAAAGTAATCTATACATGACATTAAGAATGTGAAAATATAATCGACAATTTTTCGAAAAACATTTACTTCAAATACTATATGAGAAATTATCAAACTTTTTGGATTCTTACTATTATTTGGAGATGGTGGATCGTGAAGTAAATTTAAATCATAATTTTCATCGTGATTTTTCTCTTTTTTTTTCTGTTGAACACGAGGATGTGTTTTAACACGAATATCTAAATAAGATAAACAATCATAAATTCACTTGATACAGAAAGATAGTTTTAGCATGTTTTAAAATATCTTTTTCCAGATTCTTACTTCCTTTTTCAAAAAAAAACGTAATAACAATTGGTGCAGGAGATTTAATCGATTTATTTATTTTATTCGATGGTTGTTTTAAACGTTTTAGTTGTTTGCGTAATGTATCAGTGACGGGAGGCTTCGTACCATCAAAGATCAATGTTTTCCATTGATCATTTTCAAATTTGTTTTTGATTGCTCTCTCCATCATGAAAAATTAAACCTAAAAATGGCAACGAAGTTTTTAGTCAGTACATAACAAGTTTATACGATTAGAAAACGTACTTTTAAATGAAGATTGATCAAAAAAAAGTATTAAACGTTTATATATATATATATATATCCTTTTTTTTCGTCAATTATGTGTTGTTGACGAATTTTCGTTGTTAATGATGAACTGACCGATTGACCAGTCAGTTGCGATTAAAGTGTGAATAGTGAAATAACCAATCAACGACAAATGTCTCAAGAATAATAATAACTGATAAAGTCAAGGCATCAAAGAATAACTAATTTAAGTACGGATCAAAGGTATTATATCTAATATTTAAATAAAATCCGTAGATTTAGAACAAACTTTGTATGATAGATGGCGCAATACTATAACTACGTTTTGAGATGAATGTAATATGAATATTTTAGAAAAGACTATCATGTTTAACAGTCTTGTCATCAACCGAACGTAAAATATCCTGTTAACTGTTAGTCAAGCAAAAAACACAAGAAAGATCATATTGAACGGATTAAATGTGTAGAACAGAACTAGGCGAACTTTTATAATGAAGGTGAAAATCTAGGTGTTCCGGATCTTTTTTTGTTTGAACCGATTCCAAGCTTCTTTTTTTTCGATTTTAGAAATTTTTTTCAGATTAATATCTATGAGTATTTGGTTATATCAATGATTACAAGACATAAATCCAATGTACGAGTCCAGTCGAATATGCAAATCCTAGTTTACCTTCACACTTCTATCAGAAAAATAGAACAAATAGCGAGATTTTTTTGAAATATAAAATAAGATTCTGTTTTGTAGAATTCGAGCGACATAATTCAGCATCAGAGAAGGAGTAAAATAGCTTCTTCATATTTCGAAACAGTAAAAAATTTCAAGTCACATTAAAGATTTGCCAAAAATTACATTCTATAAAAAAGAACAATCACGTATATAAAGTTAGCACCAGATTCGATATATTTTCTCCCGATTCGCGCTACAACCCGTATTGAATTTCTAAGAAGTTGTGTTAGGTGCAGAATTTAATTTTGTATCGAATGATAGATTCTTCAAGTGGAATCATCGGGTAAAAACGTCCACTTGACCCTCAAATACTGTTATTAAAAGTATTTGACCTCGTTTTTTCAAGGCATTTCTTATCCGGATTCACTCTACAGTCTGTGTTGGTTTTCTAACAGGTTGTGTTACGTGCAAAACTTAATTCTGCATCGAATGGTGCAATTTTCAATGGGGAAGGGAAGAGAGCTGGGGACACAGTGGACAGAAAAAAGAGGGGGGGAGGTAAGAACAATCCTTACAGTTAATAAAGCTAGTAACTTGATATTTTGTATAATTATTCTTCTCACTTGATGCTGATTATTTGTGCTTATTTAGTCTCTTCTACTCGTAAAATTTCTGAAAAATATGTTTTTCACTGAAATTTTCAACAAAATTCCGTACTTCTCCTCAGGTCACGTTGAAAGTTGAAAATGTGCTTTGTAAGTATGAAATATCTACAAGAGATTTCAACATGATTGCTTACAAATAAACAATACTATAAATGAGCAACGTGATAGATTAAGCAATTATACATCCATTATTCGTCCTTTTCGTACAAAACATTCGAAATATTTTTCGAAGCGAACAAAGTAAATAGGAATCAATAATGAATAGGTCAATGCATATTAAATCAAGGACAAAAAGTAAAAAGCGTATGCGACATTCCACTCACTATTTAAAAATCAGCATTTTCATGTCGCACGTTTGTTCGCATTAACCTCGGTATACTGTGATACTCATCAGAATCAGTAGTAGTGCTTACGATTTTTAGCTCTAGCTGTAAACGATTTTAGAAAGCGTTTTCTATCCAAACTCGAATTATTCATTAGAAAGAATTCAAATTAATCGAGAATAGAACAGTGTCAGAATATATTTTACTAATAAAAATTTACCTCATAACTAGTACCACTGGTATATCGCGCACATTAGGTATACCGACGGTAGTTTCTCAGTATTTATTACATAGGTTGTTATTAATTGGACAATGGATTCTTAAGTTCATTAAAAAATGACGTGAAAGGAAGGATAAACTAGAAAATGAATAGTTTGGAAATAAAAAACAAACATTATTTTTGATGTTACGTAATCAAGGTAGTGAATGGATATGGACGCTACAAGGTCAATTTTTTTAGGAGAAGCAATTACTACATGTCATAGCGCTGTCACACCGTCCATGTACATAAATCATTTTTTCACAAGTAAAAGTAAAAGAATCCGTTGTTAATTTTCATTTGTCATTCTTTTTATATTGATTTATTATCTTCTCTTTTTCTGTATTCATATGTTATTAATAGATACCTCGAAATATGACTTTAGCACTCAATAATGTCACATTTTCATTATTAATAAATTGTGTTGTAGACATATCAGATATTGATTGATCATTATTTTTACCAATAATTTCCAATTTAGAATTGGAAATATCAATATTAGAAACTTTAAATAAAAATAATATCAACGCCATTCTATTCTATTTGCAGATATGTATTAAATATAAGATGTTGGTTAATGTCACCTGGAGGTTTATATTAATAGTAATATTTCAATAAATAATACAATGTATAAAACTAATAATCAGAATACTATATGAAGAAAATGATGCATGCACAAGTCGTATATATACACTAAAAAAAATGTATAATGAGTCTTACGAACAGTATCAACGAGGCGATAGGCAAATATAAGATTTTTCGTTCTGTTTGCTCTACTGATTTTCTTTTCTTTTTTGCTTTCATTAACTTATGACATTTTTTTGCATTTATTCAAGCTCCTAAGCGAAATAAAGAAAATAACTGGTATATCAATTTGTTCTATTGTGATAAAAAACGTAACTGTCAGAAGTGTTTATAGTCAAGTGGTTTGTTGTTCATCAAAGAAAAAACATTTTACTATGTGATTGATAATAAGTATACAAAATTACTATGAAGTTATTCAGGACAAATATTGATTCGAAAAAAATATTTAAAATATAAATATCAATTGAAATATTAAAAATTAATATATGGTTTTTTTTTAGAATCACATATTTACCCCTCAAACCTTTTGTTTTTTTTCCGATGTATATTAGAAAAGACACATCGCGATTAGTAGAGATAAATAATGGGCGTGGGTGTGAATGTAGATGTTTATGCTGCTTTAGATGTGGATGTGTATGTTTTGGAGTGGTGCGTCCACTCGCCCACACCCATACCAACACCCACACCCAGGTCCTTTTGAGCAGAAGTCTACCATCATGACTAGTTTACTTTAAAGTTGGACATAAGCAGCGTGGCGCAGTGGAAGCGTGCTGGGCTCATAACTCAGAGGGCGGTAGATCGAAACTACTCGCTGCTATCGTTCCTTTTTTTTTATTCGTATATTTTTTACATATCTTCAAAATCTGATGCAATATGTCGTAATACAGAAGGGAACAGGCAAAACATTTCACGTTAACTATCATCTTGTGCATTGTTGTGCAACATAATTGGCTGAGTATCCGATTCATAAGCAGCTATCATTTAATCGACGTAAACATTTATCTTTCACCCTGCCAAATTTTGTTATTTCGTCTTCTTAAGCTCACGTTTTTCACATTCAAAGAAATGCCTTAAAATTAGAATTGACTAATATACAAGAGAGAAACTACAGCATCCAAAATCATTGAAACGTGCTTAAGTGCTGGTAAGGTGCTGAAAGGATGCTGAGGTGCTAAGCGGAAAACCGCATGGGTGGTACCCTGCGTACCTTTCAGCATCTCAGCACCTCCGCACCCTTTCAGCATCTTAGTACCTTTCAGTATTCATCCAGCACCCCAGCATCTTTAATAGGTGCTGGTTGGGTGATGAGGTGCTGAAAGGTGCGAAGGGTACTGCCTATGTGGTTCCCTCTTGCTAAAATATGACATAACTGTTGAAAAAGTAAGGTGTAGCTAACGCAAAAGTCGAGCAAAAATTAGATTTAGTTACATTATATATCATTCGATAGAACTCGTGACGTTGGTTGAGAATAAATAGTTTTTATTCGTTTAACCTTGCTTCAGACAAGAAATTAAAAAAGCCAAAGCTTCTTAATAGAAACAAAAAATAGCTATTTGCCATGGAAATCATGGATTACTCAAGGTGGCACTGACTATTTTCTACTGAAACTGTTTTATGCGAATTCAGCGTAAAACGCTGTGCTAATTAGATGAGTTTGATGAAATTTCATTACCCTAGTTCGATTTGGTTAATTTCACAAGAGTCACTATTGACCAGACCGATTCATCCATCTTGCTAATGTATCTCCTTTGCTACGAGGGGTGGAGCGTGGGTGTAGATGAAGAGAAGAAACACAACCATAAATACACCAGACCCTCTGTCGGCAGCATATTAGTTTTAGTTCATTTCATATAAGATTGTCCAGTAATAAAGACTAAATGTTGCTTTACTTTACTCCACTATTACTTAAACCTTCCATATCAAGTAACTCTTCGGGCTTTCATATTATACAGACCTAAATAAAATATAGGGTGTGGGTATGGGTGTATGGGTATGCGTATGGATGTGGGTGAGTGTGGATGTGTGTGGGTGTGTGTAGTGTACTGCGTGATCGCCTAAATCACGGTCACGATCACGATCACAATCACGCGTGATCGGGCGTGATTGGAAATTTTTTTCGTGATCGTGATCGTGATCGTGTTTGTAAAAAAGGATGCTGTGATCACGATTATAATGTTAACATTCAGATTCCAAGCGTTCATTCAGAAACTTAATGCTTCACATTTAAATCAGAAAAAAATCTGATAGCTCATATACTACTTATAACAAAAACAGGAAACAATGCACAACTGACCGAATACAGTTCATACAAAAAACAAGCTTGAAGGAGAAAAACCGAGAAAAACACATAGTCATATAATTTTCCCATCACTTTCACTATCTAGCTATCGTCCTCATACGCATGGTTTGAGTGGGATCAGTGCTATACACTCCAAAGATAAATATACACCAACATCTCTTGTATCTTCAGAACATTTTTACGATAAGTGCAACTAAATGAAATAATGAATTTTTGGGGTAGTTTATCTATTCTTTTTGACTGTATCCGATGAAGTATTTCACAAACAGGGTAGATCCAATTGGAGGGTTGCCAGAGACGTAAGCCTCTCCGCCTTCTGAATAACTCAAAGTTTTTATTATTCTTACCAGTTACAATGCCGAAAACAAGTATGGAATAAGGAGCTGCCAAACTTTTTTTGAAAACACGGAATTAAATGACATTTTTCTCTAACAATCTATAAAGTAAAATCAGAAATTTTGCTGCTTTGCGAAAGAGCAACGTCTACGCAATCAAAGTCGATCATTTGAGCAACGAAGTTTTCCACGGCTGAAAAGCTTTGTTTTAAAGTCTTCACGACCGTGGCTGCCTTCGGCGACAAATGTTCCTAGGAAATGTTACAACTGCTATTAACGACAGTTTATTTTTTCCGCAAGCAACGACACGAGATAGAAAAATTTTTAATCAGTCTGCCAAAAAAATGACACTGAAAAATAGTGTCACTCGCATAAGTATAAGCAGTTTTCAAAGATTTAAAACTTAATTCAGACAAACTTCGATTTATCGTTGCTTTCGGAAGGCATGATTTTATTCAATTACCACAAGCGTGAACGCTCTCATTATTAAAAATTTTGAGAGTACAGCATACAAGAACAACTACAATAACTATTGATATTTCAGATACGCAATACATCGGTCAAAATGTTTTGTTTATACTCGTTCCTTCCCTGCCGAAGGTTTCAAAGGTCGAGCTAGTCCTGGCCATATAGAGGGCACGACCGAATAGTGAATAGTTATTTTTATGTTTCTATGTAGATACAATGTAACATCCGTGATCGTGATCGTGATCAAAAATATCAATCACGCAGTACACTAGGTGTGTGTGGGTGTGGGTCAGTTAAGAGAAGATCAACACCCACACCCACAAATTAAATATTTAAACGATGTTCTAGAAGTGTATAAGCAAGAACTTGATTATCTCGATCAAGAAAATGAAAAAACATGCGACGGTAATCTCCAACAATTTAATAAATTATGATTATCGATAAATCAAAATGATAAAAATCAAGCAATACTCAAAAGCCTACTACAAAATTTTCAATCGACATTTATGATACGACCAAATATGTTGAAATCTATTCCTGAATATTATTTTAGAGATATTCATATTGAAGATTTTATCAAAAAACAAATATCAAATGAAGCTTATTAGCATTCCCCAAGACTAATTATAATTCATTTTCTACTATCATGAATAGTCATTTATTAACGGACAATAACGAACCAAATCATCATGATGATTCATTGTCAAATGATCAATCTAAACATTTGCGGTAAATTATGCATTGAAATGATATTTGCTAGGTTTGTTTCTTTTTACAATAGTTTATCCAGTCGATCTTCCTCCGCCAAAGAATATTCATTTATTCCTGTAGAAAGCACATCCATTGACGATCTGCAAATTCCACCAGTAGTGTCAAATTCCATGAATTTTTCATACCATAAAGACATGGCATCACAGTTAGTTTTAGTTTTGTATTCTTCTCTGAAAATGCTTTTCAAAATTTTAATAATTTAAAAATAATCAAATTGAAATTGAATCACAGTCACGTTTAGTTTCATCTTGTCGAACAATAACTGAGCGGGATATGAGAATTGATCTTCGATTCAAAATTCATTATCAACATAGCCGAAATTCATGTTTAGTAGCTTATCATGAAAATGAAAATCTCTTACTTATTTATTCATCAACCTCTCATCAATTGGAACACTTGTGTTTAAAGTCACAACAGATCTCTCCTATTAATCTACTGTCAAATACACATTTGTTAAGTTTAAGTTACTCTTCTTTTTATAATTTATTCTACTGAAGTAGTCGACAAACAAATAGTTTTGTATTATTTCGATTAAATCAGCAACAAATTGAAGTCGAACGGACAATTTCATTAATTGGAAAGAATGATTATCTTACGGACTGTTCAAAAATCATATGATCGTTAATTAAGGCCCCCCCCCCCCACCCTAATTCTTATTTTTGCTTCTGATCATCCAATCTTGCTGAAATTTTCAGAGGAGGTGTATCTCATGCTAGGTAGCTCACAGTAGAAATTTCAGTTCAAAATATTAAGTCTACCAAGTTTTACCCCAAGATTACTGCTCAAGATGGAGGGGTTCGCGTTTCCCAAATCCCGCTGCCATTTCAAATGCTAGAAAGCTCGGGTTGGTTTTAAAATATACTAAAGACCTACACTGTAAAAAAAATAGGTGTTCTACCAAACTTTGAAGGTTTCGCAATGGTTTTCGAAACCATTTTAAGTTCCGTGGGATGAAAATGGTTTCGTACTCTTCGTACTGAACCTTTTTAAGTTCCGAAAACCGAAGAAGGTTTCAAAGTTTCACGACGAAACCCTCCTAGAGTTTCGTGCACTATGTACTGAACTTTCAGAGGTTTCGTTTGTTTCGTACGAAACCGTTAATAGTTTCGTAGAGCATCTAAAGGTTCCGTAGTAGTTCTACGAAACCTTTCATAGTTTCATAAGTGCTCTTATGGTTCCGAAGATGTTGCACGAAACCAGCCGTGCTTTCGTAAAAGATATACTGAACCCTTACATCGTTTACGAAGCTATGAATAGTTTCGTACAATTTATACTGAACCTTTTGATGTTTTACGAAACCCCTAATAGTTTCGTAGAACAAACAAAGGTTTCGTGTATCTTGTACCGATCTATCAAAAGCTTCACAAAACACCAAAAGGTTCGGGACGCATTTTACGGAACTTTTCGTAGCTTCGTAAATGATCTAATGGTTCCGTAGATCTTTTACGAAACCATGGCTAGTTTCGTATAACGTTTCCGGAACTACTAGAGCACTTATGCAACCATGAACAGCTTCGTAGAACTAATACGAAACCTTTAGATGTTCTGTGAAACTGCCAATGATTTTGTGACATATATATACAAAACCTTCAGATAAATGACGAAGCTCTTAATAGTTTCGTGTAAAATATACG